GGAGGGGAGGGGGTCCATCGAGGAGGAGTTTCCCGTGGCGCGGCTCTACATCAGCAAGATCAAGTCAGAGGTGAAGTCGGTGGTGAAGCGGTGCCGGCAGCTTGAGGGGCTGCAGCTTGAGTGCCACCGCAAGATGGAGGTCACCGCCCGCGAGCTCTCCGCCTGCCAGCTGCTCATCTCCCAGGTGGGCTGGGTGCTGTCGCCAAGGGGCGTTGCCAGGGCTGTGGGGCTTTGTCAGGGTCAGGAGGTGTTGCTAAGGGCTGTTGCCAGGGGATGGTGAGGTGTGACTAGGCCTAGGAGTGTTGCTGAGGGCTGTTGCCATGGGGTGCTGGGGTGTTGCCAAGGCTGTGGAGGGTTGCTAGGGCCAGAGGGTGTTGCCAAGGGGTGTTGCCATGGGGTGGTGGGGTGTTGCCACGGCTGTGGAGGATGGCTAGGGCCAGAAAGTGTTGCCAGGGCTGTGGAGGGCTGCTAGGGGCTGTTGCCAGGGCTAGAGGGCATTGCCATGGGGCACTGGGGTGTTGCTGTGAAGCATTACCAGGGTCATGGAGTGTTGCTAAGGGACGTTACCACGGGAGGGGGCAGCAGGCTGCTGTTGGGAGCTGGGGACAGTCGCCAGGGCGGTTGCCGGGGCAGTGGTTGCCAGGGCGGTCGCCAGGGCTGACCTGCCTGCCCGCCTGCAGCACGAGGCCAAGATCCGGTCGCTGACCGAGTACATGCAGAGCGTGGAGCTGAAGAAGCGGCACCTGGAGGACTCCTACGACACCCTCAGCGAGGAGCTGGCCCGGCTGCAGGCCCAAGGTGCCTGGGCAGGGGGGGCGGCCAGGCACTGGGGGTGGGGGGCAGCTGGGCACTGCCCCCCTGACCTCATCTGTGCCTGCAGAGACGGTGCATGAGAAGGAGAAGGAGCAGGACATCGCCCAGGACAAGGAGGATGCCAAGGTGGGGGCAGGCCCGTGGCCCCCCAACCTATTGTGCCCCATGAGTGGGCACGAGCCGGGGGGGCAGGCATGGGCGAGCTGGGTGTGATGATCAGTGCATGCGGGGTGGGGGGGGTCCAGGCTGGGGTCTGGGGGTCCGGGCCGGCTGTGACGGGGGTGCCCGCAGGGCGCGGTGGAGCTGCAGCTGGAGTGCCAGCGCGAGGCCCATCACAAGCAGCTGGCGCGGCTGCGCGACGAGATCAACGAGAAGCAGAAGGTCATCGACGAGCTCAAGGAGTGAGTGACCATCCGACCCCCAGGTCTGGGCATGGCGGGCAGGCCCCAGCCCCCGCTGACCGACCCTCCCTGCCCGCAGCCTGAACCAGAAGCTGGAGCTGGAGCTGGAGAAGCTTCGCGCCGACTACGAGAAGCTCAAGAGCGAGGAGCAGGAGAAGGCCGGGCGGCTGCAGGAGCTGACGTGAGCCCCCTC